TCTCTCTCTCTCTCTCTCTCTCTCTCTCTCTCTCTCTCTCTCTCTCTCGCTCTCTCCAGAAGTCAGTAGCTTTTTTTTTTTACTGCTTTTTTAATCAGATGTGGCTGGTCAGGCAACTAGTAGCATGCAGTAATTTGGGCACAAGCGGGCCGCCTCCTATGTTTCACTGGACTCCAGGTCGTCTGTCTCCAGGTCTATCTGCCGATACCGATACTATCCACTACACATAGTCTTTTTTTTTTTTTTTTTTTTTTTTTTTTTTTTTTTTTTTAAATAAAGCTGTCTTCTCCTCATCGGGGGACAGCTGTATTTTTTCTATCATTTTTCCCTCGTGTATACACACCTTCTGAGCATAGAACAACAAGGGTTATGGGTCTGGATTCCCGGCCTACTCAACTCTGCTCTACACGGGGAGCAGTACCCCGGCTCCTAACGCCCGGCACGAGCTGGAAAGTGCAACGCTTCCACAACCTGGCCAGGAGGCCCAAGCCAATTATCTCCACTGGTGAACCAGAAGCGAAACACACGGGGCCGTGCGGAATCGAACCCACAACCTCCTCCATACCACTTACGTGCTCAACCAACTGAGCTAGCCCGCTTGGGCATAGTCTTTGCTATTTCATTCAGTATCTGCCAATACTATCCACTATACACAGTCTTTGCTATTTCGTTACTGAACCTTACTTTCTAGTATATTTTTTTCAGTTTTAACTTTTAACTACCTATATTTGTGGAAGATTTGGTGCCCTGCTGGGAGCTTGGCAGCTGCACAAGAAGCAAGTCACACGTGGTTCTATAGAGCAGAAACATAACAACAGAAGCTAAAGTGAACCGTCGACACGAAATGAAATTGCTTTGAAAGTTGAAACCATACTACAAACCATACTACATCCAGTATCGGCCAAATGGACAAGAAATATATGCGACATACTAATCTTGTACTGTTCTGGTTTTGTCAGAAACATGTCAGAAAAATGTCAGAAGCGTAAGTAGACATTCTATTCTATACATCGCATCCTTACCACAGTCCAACGTTTGGAGCTAATTCAACAAGAGGAAGAACCACAGTTGCGGCGCACCAGTGCGCAGTGCGGTGCGCACTGCGCTGTGCACTGGAGTGACAGCACGCGCACTGTGTGCCGTGCGCTGTGTGCAGTGTGATCCGCTGTGCGCGGTGTGCGCGCTGAGGGAGGTGCACCCTGTGCGTGATATATCGTCAAATAGAACTGCCCGGTAAACCGTAGGCAGAGAGGGAGAAGAGGACAACAAACGAGGGGCTGTGACAAACTGTTTCATCGGAGTTTCACCGACTCATCAGGAGGCTGAACCCTCAACAGTCTGTAGAATCCCCT